AAAACATCAGCCCCAGGTAGCCAAATGGACGGCCTCTGCCCAAATCTTTTGAGCTGCCGGATCTGACAGCTCCAACCCCCTACTTTTAAGCATATCTCTCAGCACCTTAAGTGCCGGGTCCTCAGGCTTATTAGTGGCGTTACCCATCTTTTCGGGTCTCGCTTACCCCGGACTCTTGATTGGCCCCAATCCTTTTCCTTTCACCTACCCTCGAGCCCCACGTTGGGCGCCAGTTGCGGGGGATTTGAGCCTGCGACCCCCGCGCAAGGATGACCGGGGATGAGTAAGTGCGCTGTTCGCCAGCCCCCAAAGCCCCCAGCACCGGGAACAATCAGATGCAACAGGGAGTCTAGTCAAGCAGGAACTCATTTATTGCAGGTGTTACAGAGCTTATAAAGGCATCTGGAAATCCCCCTCCCCCGTGAGGGTGCCCAATCAGTTTAAAGGTCAATCGAGCACGAAGGCAGCACTTCATGGATCTTAAGGATGATCATGTGCTGATCATGCACTCCTCAGTAGTGCGGAAGTATCCGTCAGCCAGTTTGAAGACTTTCAAAACAAGTCACTTCCTCTCGGCGCCATCTTGGCAAGGTGGGGCCTTTAGGTCCCCACAACTTCTGACTGGCATGACTGCAGAACTACCCAGTGGATAGACCAGAGATGTCAGTAAATATTCTACAAGAACAGCCTTGCAGTCCCCCATAGGGTCCAAGTATTTGAACACTTTGTCCCCTTGGTAGCAGTTTTGGGAGGGTTAGGAGGTATGGAGTTGCCAGAGGAAGGATGTCCCTGGGGGTGGGCCTTAGCCTTGCCCCAATTTGCATCTCTCCCTACTTCTTGTGCCTGTTTACAGACCTGAGTGTTCAGCTCTTGGCTCTGGCTGCCTTCTGGCATACCTCCCCACCAAGATGGACTCTTATCTCTCTGGAACCATAAGTCCAATAAACTCTTGCTTCTGTAAGTTGTCTTGGTCATGGTATTTTTATCATAGCAATAGAAAATTAATAGAGAAGTTGGTACCAGAGAGTAGGCTGTTGCTGTGAAGAACCTGACTTTGTTGGTTTGGGGAGAAATGTGGAAAACTTTGGAAGTTTGGACTAGAAAAGTGGTTGAATGCTATAACCAGAGTTTAATGGCGTGTTCTAGTAGGAGTCTGGAAGCAAGTAGTGCAAAGACCAATGTAGTTCCAGAGGCAAAGAAGGACTTAAACAGCAACTGTTTAAGAAAAGAATCTGGCTACCCTCTGTTTACCACCTAAGGACCTTCCTAAGGCTAAATGAAAACATAGTGGTCTAATAATGAATTGGTGGCATGGTTATTAATGGTGACTATTATGGAGATCTACAATGAAAAAGAGCAAGTGGAACAGAAATACAAAATGTACACTATGGAAAGAAAAAGCTGGCTAGGAAGTTTAATGTAGCAGCCAAGGCAAGTCCTGGATCGTATGTTCCACTGTTAAGATTAGAGCCATTAAAAACAGGCCTTCAGGTTTGCATTTGAACCATGAAAGGAATACCCTCAGGGTAAGACCCCATCCAGTTAACATTCCAAATAGTAAAAGGGAATGGTCTGCAGCTAGAAAACCACAACATACAAGAGCTGCTGCAAATGTGATCCAAGAGAGTGAAGTTCCATCCCAAGCTGACAGTTGAACTTGGCAGTGTCATTCAGGTGGTGCTGACTTTAGAGGCATAAATGATGCAAGAGATAGGGGGTCATCAGTTCTTCCTCCACAGTTTCAGAGGGCTGCTGAGGTTAGGCAGCATGTAGCAGGGCAGTCACTGCATAAAGATGGCCCTGACAGATTAAGGGGCCCTGAGAGGCCATTGTGCAAAGCTGTGAAGACAAAGTCTGGTTGGCAATGGCGACACCAAGATGTCTGAAGGTGCTAGAGCTGAGAGACATCTGCCAGGGAGAGCTGTACAGAGGGAGTGGTACCAACCCCATAGAGACATGTCTGTTGCAGACAGTAAAGCTAGAGAGGGTGAGCCTTCTAAGCCTTCAGAACTGTCCCAGACATCAGACATGGAGCTACAGGATTTGGCATTTGCCCTGCTGGTTTTCAGTCTTTAGTCTGGTATTTCCTTCATATGCCTCCCTTTTCTCCCTATTGGGATGGGAATGTGTATTCTGTGCCATTATATGTTGGAAGTAATTTTTTTATTTTACAGAGATTTATAGTTAAGAGATTGCTTTGAGTCTCAGAATCAACTTTGGACTCTGAACTTTTGAATAGTGTTGAGACTGTTGGACTACAGAAACTTTTGAGGTTGGACTAAATGCATTTCACATTATGAGATGGTCATGAGCCTATGGGGTCCGGAAGTGGAATGTGGTGGTTTGAGTGAGAATGTTGCCCATAGGTTCCCAGTATTTGAACACTCTGTCCCCATTTGGTGGTGCTGTTTTGGGAGGGTGAGGAGGTGCAGTCTTGCTGGAGGAAGCTCCCAGGGGTGCCTTTATCCTTGTCCTATTTCAAGTTTCTCTCTGCTTCCTGTGCTTGTTAGAAGATGTGAGCACTCTGTCTCATGCCAAGCCTCCCCACCAAGGTAAACTCTGTAAACCCAATAAACTTTTCCTTCTTTAAGTTGTCTTGATTATATTTTATCATGCAACATAAAAGTAACTAATACAAGCCTCTACAAGAATCATTTGACTCAAAATACCAAAGACACTGAGAACCCCAATTATAAATAAAGTGCTATAGCCAGGCATGGTGATACATGCCTGCAATCCCAGCATTTGGGAGGAGGAAACAGGCTGATCAGGAATTTGTGGCCAGCCTGAGCTACATGAAACCCAGTTTGCTTTTTAAAAAATATTTTAGTAATTTTATGTGTATGAGTGTAATGCCTGCATGTGTGTAGGTACACCTGGGTCATGCGATGCCCACAAAAGTCAGAAGAGGGCGTCAGATCCCCTGGAAGTGGTGTTACAGATGGTTGTTAGCCATCATATAGGTGCTATGATTTGAACTCGGGTCCTCTGCAAGAGCAGTCAGTGCTCCTAAACGCTGAGCCATCTCTCCAGCCCCATGAAACCCAGTTTCAAAATAAAATAAATGAAACCAATAAGCTAGGCCCACACCCCAACTTCCCAGAAGGGCATTCTGTCTATGCACTGCAGGGAGTAAATGATTACTGTCATTATGAAAACACATGAGCGGACCATGGACATAGATGCATTCTTTTTGTAAATTTTATTCTTATGTATGTTTATGATGTGTATTGAGGTGTGCATGCCAAGGCACATGTGTAGAGGAAGGTAAGAGTGTCAGCATTTTGGGGTACAGGTAAAGGAGGTACAGCTCCCCACCGTCATCCTCTATAACCTCAGGAGTTCCCCTAGTTCTTAGAAAAGCCCGCTCAGACTGACAGGATGCAAGGCTTGGACACTGAAAAGCTTTTCAGGACTAAACACAAGCCACAGCTCACTGTGAGGAGCCCTGGGTAGGACATGTAACACAGGTCCTTCATGTAACTTTTTGTTTTGTTTTTTAAAAAATATTTTATTATTTTTGTGTATGAGTGTATTGCCTGGATGTATGTGAGTGCACCCGTGTTGTACAATGCTGCGGAGGTCAGAAGAGGCCATCGGATTCCCCTGGAACTGGAGTTAAGGACGGTTTGTAGCCACCACGTGGATGCTAGGAATCAAACTGGGTTCTCTGCAAGAGCAGTCAGTGCCCTTAACCAATGAGCCATCTCTCCAGCCCCTGTAACTTTGTTTTTTTGTTTAAGATAGGGTATCCCTGTAGCCCCAGCTGGCCTGGAACTCACTTATGTACATCAGGCTGGCGGAATTCACAGAGATCAACTTGCCTCGGCCCTCAGTGCTGGGATTAAAGGCACACGGGCAGTAATTTTTTTATAGCAGTGTTGAGGATTAATTTGCTGCTTGGCACATGCTAGGCACATGTTCTATCAACTGAGCTACGTTCCCAACTCTTTCCTATCTTTCATTCCCTAAAACAAATCTGTGCTAGACAGCAGTAGCCACCTACTTTTAGATGTGTAAACTGAATCTCTTTGCAAGATTAACTACTCAAGGTATCTTTAAATCAAAGAGCACTCAGGGCAGGTCTTTCTACCCCAAAGTCCAAACCTGTCAGTGACACAATACTGGCCTATGCTCTGATATTTAACATAATTAGCGAATTTTTGGGATTTCTCAAGATCACTCTGGAATGGAAAAGGGGAGAAATATGGTTTGACAAAATACAAAGCAAGGTGAAATGAAAGCTAAAATGGGTGCTGACCTGAAATTATGCGTGTGATTTCAGGGATTCCTAAAATCTCTAGGAGTCCCACCGAAAGGTCCTGGAACCCCACGTTAAGAATCTCTGAGGGTTGGGGAGGGGAGCAAATTCAAATACAGTATTCAAAAGTTCAGTTTGACCAGACTGCTTTAACATCACCTAGACACAAGGCTTCTGGTCAGGAACCTTCCAGTGGGAAGAGCCACCACTTAGGGTAAACTAATGAGCTCTTCGCCTGGAAGCTATGTAACAACGAGACAGCGGTCAGAGGCAGAAGAACCAATGAGCGGGTTGTCCTCTGTGTGGGGTTACCTTTGTTGAGGGCTGAAAGTCAGGCCCAGGAGCCGAGCCACTAGGCTTTCAGAAGCTCTTGGGTATCTAGAACACGCTCAGGAGACATCCGCGCTGCAGAAGTGGGGAGCCGCGAGCCAAGAGGATGCTCGCGAAGGAGGCGTAGTCAGGAAGGCGGGCTTCCTCCAGTCACAGCAAAACGCCTCTAGGAACGGGCAGGAAATCACCAGGCCGAGTAGGCGGCACCGAACGCCGGCAGCAGGCGAAGCCCACAGACGCGCGCCGAGCGCCCGCAGCGTTCTAGCCGCCCTCGTGCGTCAGCCGGCGGCGCAGTCGCAGTGGCGGCCTCGTTCGCTGTGGGGGTGGGGCCAGGAACTGGGCGGAGCTGACTGCCCAGCGCGCGGACGCCAGGGAGCGCAGCGGAAGGGTGTGAACGCGCAGTCTCCGTAGTCACTCGGCCGACATGGAGGCGGGGCTGCGCATGCGCGTTGAGAAGCGGTAGCGGTGGCTGCGGCGGCGGCAGCTGTGAGGGGGTTCCGGGAAGATGGTGCTGATTAAGGAATTGTGAGTGGTTTGGTGGACTCCAGCTAGGCTCTGGCACGGGGGTGGAGGGCTCCGTGGTTCCGAATTGGGTGGGCAGTGCTGAGAAGCGGAGAGTCTCGGCCGGCCGCCCTCTGCGAATGCCGCGGACCCACGCGAGTCCCCGACTCGCCCCGAGGCCGTGTGCGTCGGGCCGGACCCTCCGCGGGCAGCAGGGCGGGCGCGAGGCGGGCGAGGAAGGCCGGGTCTCGGTGGCCCGGGAGACCGGGGACTCGCCCTGGGGCGTCGCCTGCGGCGCGTCGCGCGAGGTGGGAACGCCAGGTGAGCGCGGCCGGGAGTGCAGCAGTGTCAGCCTGCCCCCGCCGGCCCTGCTCTAGGTCCTGCATCTGTAATACTGCCCACTTGCCCTACCCGATTCGCGACGGAAGGGATTTCCAGATGCATCAGGCCGCCCGATGATCTTTGTTGAAAAGTTGTGGCTTTTTCCACTGTTAGAGGAAATCGGGTGCCAGTGAACGTTCGCCTGTCAGACCTGAATCGGCAATTCCTTGGGCAGTAGGGATTTCAAGTACTACTCTTTTGTTGCCCCCTCCCCCGTTTCATTTACAGTTCTTAGAAAAATAATTGCCTTAATTTAGCAGTCTCCAGGCGTCTTCGTTGTGTTGTCAAACCTCTTCAAAAACCGAGTAATTGCTCTACTTAAAACTGTAGACTTCCTGTCTCTTGAGTAAAAGTTGAAGTCTTAAGTAAACAGCTTGCAAGGCCTTAACCCTATTTTCTGCTTGGATCTGGATTTTCCTTGCTCCACTCCACCTCACAAGACTCCCCGCTTGCTCTACAGATAAGCTTAGTTCAGGGCCGTTCTGTTTGCTTCCCTTCCTCCTGCTTTAAGTGTGCTTTTCCCAAATCACTTAACACACCTCCTGCCAGGTCTTTCTGGCCTTCTGGGCGTCTTTGTATTCCAGATGTGTTCTCTTTCTGTGTGTAGTCTCCGTATCACCCATCCTGCTCACTCTGATCTCTCCGGCTTTTAGAACAGTTTCTAGGTCTTAGGTATTCAGTAAATATTTGCTAAATGAATTGACAAATCACCCTAATAAGGAAAAAAATTAATCCCATTTAGTGTGTGTGTGTGTGTGTGTGTGTGTGTGTGTGTGTGTACGTACGTATGGGCAGGTGCGACAGCGTCCTTGTGGAAGTCAGAGGCCAACTTTTGAGAATCAGTTCTCCCACTGCTTGGGTCTGGGGACTCAGACTCAGGCTTGGAGGCAAGCACCCTTATCTGCTGAGCCATCAAGCTGGCCCCCCAAATTACTACTTTTTGTCAATCATAGGAAACCTGAGAAAAGGCTTCCTTTTTCATTGTGCAGAGTGAAGATTTGCAGATAAAGCTGATTTATAAGAACTGAACTTTGCACTTGTATGAAAAGTTTCTTCCAAGTCATTTATAGCAGTGGACCTTGCAGACATCACCTCATTTATTATTGTAGTAGCTGCATGATATCGATAGAAGCAAATGAGAAGGCAGGTGGAGAACATGAAACAGAGCAAGAGAATTGCAGAACTGATTGTAGATCAGATACTTGTTTCTAATGTATTACTTCCTGTCTTCAGTGTGAATAAGTATTCAGTAATGCTTTGACTGTTAAGTGAGTGGTCTTCAGATGGAGCAGTCCCAGATGAGAGTTTACATACTATGCAATGGGAATATACACTCTCTGCTTTTTCAAACCTTGAAGACTTGAAAGTTACATTTTATTTTTAATTATTTGTATATGTGTCTGGGCATGTGCTTATGAATGTAGGTGCTTGGGGAGGCCAGAAGAAAGCATCAGATCCTTGGACATAACTGCTGGGAACTGAACTTGGGTCCTCTGCAAGAGCAGTATGCACTCTCAACCACTGAGCCATCTCTCTGGCTCAAAATGTATTTTTCAGTATTTTTAATTTTGTATACTTGAGCTCAGGAGTGCAGTGCGTCCAGAGGTTAGAGGTGTTGGATCCCCTGGAGCTGGATATAGGCGGTTGTGAGCCACCCAACATGACTGTTGCTTGAAACTGAACTCACATCCTCTGCAAGAGTAGTACATGCTCTTAACCACTGAGCCATCTATCTCTCCAGCCCTGCATTTGTTAGGAAAATTTTAATGCGCTGAGATTGCAAAGTTGGTATGTACCCAGTCTTAAGTGTTTTTCCTAGCGTTCTGCATTAAAATTGTTGTTGTTGTTTTTAACTCCAATGTTTGACTTTTCTAAAGTTTTTCTCTCCTCCTTTAGAGGCACCTTCTTATTTTTGAGTTCTCAGTGTCCAGCATAGCATCTGGCATAGTATTATAAATTTTCAGCTCTATTGAATGAAAAAGTGACTTTTCCTCTAGTCAGCTTCCTAAAAATTTTTAATTTATTTTTTTATGTGTATGAGTGTATTGCTTGCATGTACATAAGTGCACCCGTGTCATGCAGTGACCACATAGGTTGGAGGCCATTGAACCCCCTGGAACTGGAGTTACAGACAGCTACCACCATGTGGGTGCTGGGATCTGAACCCGGGGTCTCTGCAAGAACAGCCAGTGCTCTTAACTGCTGAGCCATCTCTCCAGCCCCTAAAATTGATTTTTGATCGTCAGTAGACAATAGGTGGTTCGTTTGTGAAGATGTTGGTAAAGTAAAATAATTCAGCAGATGTTTGTTATCTTCTGTTTCTTACAAGAATTAAAAGCTTAAGCTGGGTGTGGTGGCACATGCCTTTAATCCCAGCATTGGGGAAGCAGAGGCAGGTGGATTTCTGTGAGTTCCAGATCAGCTGTCTCAGAAAAACAAAAAGAAAAAACAGAAAAGGAAAAAAAAAAAAAAGGTTAAGAAGGACTTTTAGGGCCAGCCTTAGTAGAACATACCTTTAATCTTCGCACTGGGCAGGCAGAAACAGGTGAATCTCTGAGTTTAAGAGGCTACCCTGTGATCTGCGTAGTTCCAGACTAGACAGGGCTACATAGTGAGACCCTGTCTCAAAAAAAGAAAGACTTTCAGATTGGGCTATTCCCTTCTGTTATTAAGTAATAGATGAAGTCTGGGTTTTAAAGCATTCATTGATGGTTCTATTTTGAAAAATATTTTCATGAGGATTTCAGAGAAGTTTTTGGAATTTCAAATTACAATCTTTTAGAATAATATGGAAAATCAAAAGCTGTGTCTTCCTTGCTCTTTATTGAGCAAGTCTTAAAGAACCTTCTAAAGTCATCATTTCAAGTATCTTAGTCATTTCACTTTGTGAAGAGATTTCTCTTTTAAAATGTTGCTAAAACAAAAACAGGAATCTTCTTCTGGTGAGCAAGTATTAAACTTAATGCTGCTGCATTGGTGTTATGAAACTTGAGTGAAGATGCTCTTTATTCTGTCCCTTCATCTCTGTAGTCCCACATCTAGGTTCAGTAATGTATTAAGAACCCTTGACAAGCCTCCCAGAAGACTTCTTTATCGTAGTCCCCTGATTCTCTGTGCTCCTAACCACCTACAGGTGATTTTGTGAAGTCAGCTGTAATTATATCACTCCAGCATTTTCTGTTGCTTCATTAGTGAACTGAATGAATTGCTGACCATAGTGTCCCAGGCCCTGAAAACAGGTCCTACCCTATATCTCTCTAGCTTCTCTTCCTCTGGGATGTGTCCTGGGGTAATGAGACAGTGACCAGATTACTGTGCACTGTGAGGGGACAGGTAGGCAGAGGTGACTAAGAACTTTTGTTTGTGGAAGGACTTAGAACAAGTTTGTTCTTAATGAGACTAGAAGAGCGTAGAAGTCTGTGACTGATCTCACTTTGCGAATTCCTGGTTTTTAGGGTCACCATCCTACAGAGTGACAGTGACCTGGAATAGGCAGGAGGAGCAACAGGAAGCCTGTTCCATATATGCTGGTGGTTAAGATGATGCCAGAGCTGGGCACAGATAGATGTTTGAGGAGAATGGAGAGCTGGGAAGTGCTGCAATGGGGGAGCCAGATGTGATATTCTGAGTTATGTCAGCATTTTGTTTTGGTATAAGAACAAATTAACCAGAAATGTCTAGGTTGAAAAGATTATCGCTTATAAACAATAAACTAAATGACTTTTACGTCAAGAAACAAAGAGATTCCAACTGAGAAGAAACTGGAATGAGTAAAACGGGACTTTTCTACAAAGTGATGGTTGGAGTGACAGAAGTTTTGGGTTTTTATTTCTTTATTTATTTTTTAAAAACCTGGTGTCCTCATAAAAGCCAAAAAAGAACAGTGACATAAAGAGTCAGTGTTCTTTGGGAAGCAGCTGTCAGGAAAGTTGGTAGAGGGTGGCTTGAGTTTATGGGATTTGTGGTGGACAAAGGTAAGGGTGGAAATAAGGGATTTCCTGTGAAAATCTGGAGATAAAAATCAATATTCTGATAAAAAGCAGTGTACCATAATAAATATAAAATTTTTTAATCATTGTCTCCTGTATTGTAGGTATAATGGAACTATAAAAATAACGTTTTGGTATATCCTGTACCAAACACTAGGACAGGATCAGACACAGGCCTTCCCTTATAATTGAACCTACCTTCAGAGAAGTTATTGTATTTATAAGGTTTAAGGTAGACGCCTTAACAAAAGATTCTTATTTTAAAGTCACTTTTACTTATTTGCGTCTTCTTAAACTTGGATAATTGGGTTGAGGAGGGACATTTTCTGGAAGTTCATGAATTTCAAGAAATGTATTCTGAGAGAAGTAAATCATAAGAATAAAGTGAGTGTGGGACAAGAGTACTTGCTACTCTTGCAGAGGACCAGAGTGTTCAGTTCCCAGCATTCATGTATGGCAGCTCACAACTGCCTGTAACTCCAGCGCCAAGGACTCCAACAGGGCCAGTGTACTTTTCTGGCTTCCTGGGGCTCCCACACATACACGTTCTTACATGTCCATAGACATACACATAATAAAAACTCTTAAGAAATGTACAGTATATAGGTGGTGAATGAAATTGCACTAAAAATTTTACACGGGCATCTTGGCCAGACAGTCTATAAATAATACATCCCATTCCCTGCAGTTTTCAGGCATGAGCTCATTCATGTTTGCTAACCCTGCATAAGCCTTTCTGCAGCTACACCTTTGGGGTCCTGGGGAGCGAGGCCACGCAGTACAAATGGCTGTTGGAATCCAGCAATGATGCTTGCAGTTTAAAAACTCTTAGGGTTGTAGGCTTGCAGAGACTTTCTTCCGTAGATGACATTCTTGTATTTTTGGAAGTAGAAGTCTTGTTTGCTGTATCATTGGATTTAAATCCATTAAATCTAGAGATCTGTGTTTTGAATCCATATCATATGTAATACTTTTTCTTTTTGTCTTTTTAGCCGAGTGGTTTTGCCATGTTCTGTTCAGGAGGTAAGTTTTTCTTGGTTCTGCATCATTTTATTGGTATAATTTACTGTAATATGCTAATCTACACTATTTTTGTAATACTAGCTTACTTTGGTCTTCTTTTCCGGTGTAGTCCTGGCAGTGGGACCCAGGGCACTAGCATGCTAGGCACACACTCTACATCTGAGCTACACTCATATCCTTCATTTCCCGTTTATTTGCATGTATGTGACAGATGCAGCTAATGCATTTCTCTTACATTGCCTCGTTTGGAAGGGGGTGTAGAAAAGACTAACCAGTGTGGGAATTCTTTCTACACTATCCCAGAAAAATGACATTCCAGCCTCAATTGAAGCTATTTCTAGAGAAGGAAGCTGCTGCTTAGAGAAGCAACTGCTTTTACTACTCTTACGTTTCCAACGTTTGTCTTTATACAAACCTGCTTTTCTGTAATGCTTGATTGTTGTTCATAGTTCACCCCATTTAAACAGTGTAAATTAAGCCTGCACTGCCTTCCTGTGATAACCCTTCAGATTTTCTGATGGAAGCTCTTCCTGCCAACTCACTACCACCCCCAAGACCTTGCGTTCCATTTTAACAGATCATGGAGTTAAACATTCCCAGTATACCATTTGTTCCAATGTGACATGGTCTCTAGACTTCTTGACAGCTGGCTTCATTGCTGTATGTATCATAGCTGTTGCTTCGACCTGAAAATCGTATTCTAAATAGGACCCGACCCATAACAGTGGTCCTCCTTGACCTGCTTTTGATAGACAACCTGTGTTCTACAGCTACAGCTACCTGTTAGATGGCCAGCAGGGAAGATAGTATCGGAAAACAGTGAAAAGTTAGCAAAACTCAAAACCCTCGGGGGTCCTTCTGAACTTGCTCATAAGTTCCCCTTGCTCAGTTATCTGGTTTTCCTGGAGCTGACAGTAAATTTAAAGCAGAGAATTGGAAGTTGGACAAAACAAACTGATGGCCTAAGATGTGACAGCTGATAGAAGACAGGAAAAAGCAGAACTGAAAACAAGTGGCTGCCTGGCACTGTTGAGTGTGCCTTGAACACAGCTGCGTGTGTCTCCCCAGGACCTGAGGTCTCCACTATTGTGACACACTTGACACATGCCAGGCACCCTGTTCTTTGTCTACACAGTTGATTATTTGAACTCACATGTAGAACTTGACATTTGTTTTTGTTAAATTTTTTTTCTTCTTTTGGTTTTAGCTGATTGAATTGACTGTTGAAATCTGGTGTCTTGGTATTGTCACCCAGAATAATTTTACATTTTGTTAAATTCAGATTTAGTAAGCATGCCTTTTTCCTCTGTCTCTTGAGTTATTTCTTAAAATGATGTCAGGGAGAAGGCCTAGTAGCATATCCCAAGTGACCAGTAATCTCTTTTGGGATTCAGTCATTTAGTTGTTTCTTTTTGGATTTTTTTTTTACTCTCTGTTCATGATGATGACCAAATTTGCCTTTTGGGTTAGAGACTTTTTAATCCTGTTTGAAGTCTGTCATGTTGGAAAGCTTATTTGGAAGGAATTAGAATCCTGGTGTTAGTAGACGAACTCAGTCTCTTCCCTGTAGTCCAGAGTCCCTGCAGACATTTATTTTGGGAGCACTTAGAAATTTGTTTGGTTCCAGCCTCCCAAACCCTTCCAAATTGAATAATTCCATGTGTGTTTTAAATTGTTAGACTACCTGATCCTGTCACATCCTTAGAGCTGCTTAGATTTCCTGAGCTTACAGTGGCCCCTGTTTTCAGTCTTTCTAATAAAATTTTAGCTTTTAAGAACATTTTTATTTTATGTATATGAGTGTTTTCCTGTATATAAGTATACCACCTGTAAGCAGTGCCCGAACAGGCCAGAAGAGAGTGTGGGATCCCCTGGAATTAGAGTTATGGATGGGTGTTAGCCACCCATGTGCGTGCTGGGAACTGAAACTGGGTCCTCTGCAAGAGCAGTGGTTAAAACCACTTTTAACCGCTGAGCCATCTCTCCACCACAAATTTTAGCTTTAAATTATGAGTTTGTATAGGTAAATTTTTGTGCCTTTGAAAATATACCTAGAAGAAAACTGCTTCTTTAGGCCATCTTCATTAGAAGGAACTTTGGTCAAGTTTGAAGAGATTGGAACTAGTACTGTGACTTGGCCACTGAAGCAAGTGAGACCATAGTAACTGTGGTTTTACCCCTTGTTTGAACTGTGAGTGGCACAGACCAGTACTACTGAGTCATGGATACTGGTGCCTGCCACTGAGAATCTTGGTTCACTTTCTGAACTAGAAACTGCTGTCAGCAGTGACTTGCCTTTTAGAATAATGCTTGTATATTAAATTATTTCCCAGTTTGTTTTTTAGAGAATTTTGTTTTAAAGTTCTGATTCTGGTACCCAGTATTGCTTTTAGCTGAGCAAGGGCCAGATTGAGCATGTCATTTATCAGTCACATGGAAAAAGATCCCTACACACTGCTGAAAAGTCCACAGGCTTTCCTTATCACACTTCATTCCTTCCTCTATTACTGAGTAACATGCTGGTTGCTCTGATTCAATTGGCATAGTGACAGTTATATTCCTGCCATACCTTCCTCAGAATTTTGTAAAATTAGATACTTCAGAAAGTGCACGTTCATTGTTGTTCAAAAGTCGAACTAAGTCGGGTATACTGACACATGCCTTTAATCCCTGCCTGGTCTCCTTAGCGAGTTCCAGACCAACCAGGGCTATGCAGTGAGGCCCTGTCTCAACCAAAAAAAAAAAGACACCAACAAAGTATTGTATTGACATTGTATTGACATTTTCCTGATAAATGTGTATCATAACTGTTTTTGAATGATGGAAATTTTATAAAGCTGTGTGATCACCTGGTGCTTGTTTTTACACGTTAACTCTAGCTTGAGCCCTGTTTTCATATAAAATGTGATGAATGATTTGATAGACTTTTCTGTGTCATCCATAGTCAAGTTTTAGCATAGCAAAGCCCGGCAGCTGCTGCTGACAGTGAAGCTCTGCTCTTTGGAATTTCAGTACCAGGTTGGACAGCTTTACTCTGTGGCAGAGGCCAGCAAGAATGAAACTGGTGGTGGTGAAGGCATTGAAGTCTTGAAGAATGAACCTTATGAGAAGGATGGAGAAAGGGGACAGTACACACACAAGATTTATCACCTGAAGAGGTAAGTGGGGTGTTGACATTTGATGTGTAGACCATTGAGAGCCATGCTGTAAATACTTCACTTACATGGCAGAGCTGTGTCACAGCCACCTTCCTGGTCGATGTGCTGAAGGACGTTTTTTATTTCAGTGTTATAGAATAAATTGTAATAATGTGCTGTATTTTTATTTTATTTATTTTTGTGTGTATGAGTGTATTGCCTGCATGTATATAAGTGGACTCGTGTCCTGCAATGTCTGTAGTGATCAGAAGAGGGCATCAGATTCCCCTGGAACTGCAGGTACAGACAGTTGTTAGCTGCTGTGTAGGTGCTGGGAATCGAATCCAGGACTTCCGCAAGAGCTGCTAGTGCTCTTAACTGCTGAGTCATCTTTCCAGCCCCATTAATGTATTTTAACTTGTCCTAGGAACCCCTCACTTTTCATATTAAATTATAAAAGTAATAACCTCTGTTGTAACAAAAGCTCAACTGGTAGAGAGAATAAAATAAAAAGTTGATCATCGCCCCTGTCATCAGAAGTCCTTAACAACAGAAAAATATGAGAAACCTTAGGGATTATCCTTCTAGATCATTTTTTTGAGCATACTCAAAAGATGTTTGTAAACATAAGCATACGAAGAAATAGTTTGTCACTTCATGTGTTATAAATAAACTTATTCCATACAGTTTTATTTTTCATGTTTGTGGGTGTCAAAAATCATCTTTTTTTTTTTTTTTGGTCTTTTTGAGATAGGGTCTCTCTGTAGCCCCAGCTGTCCTGGAACTCACTATGTAGACCAGGCTGGCCTTGAACTCACAGAGATCCGCCTGCCTCTGGCTCCCAAGTGCTGGGATTAAAGGTGTGCTCCACCACACCCGGCTCCATTTTTTAAAAATATTTTATTATTTTTATGTGTACGTATGTATTGCCTGCATGTAGGTAAGTGCACCCATGTCATGTGATGCCTGAGGAGGATAGAAGAGGCTGTTGGATCCCGTAGACCTGGAGTTACGGACAGTTGTTAGCTGCCATGTGGGTGCTGGGATTTGAACCTGGGTCTTCTGCAAGAACAGTCAGTGTTCTTAACAGCTGAGCCATCTCTCCAGCCCTCATCCATGTTTTTATTTAATACCATGGGATTCTTTTTTTTTTTTTTTTAAATATGCATGGCATGGATGTACATGTGGGTATACATGTATGTTTATATATGTGGAGACCAGAAGACAGCCTCAGGTACCACCCTCAGGAAAATGATCCCATCCACTGGAACATGTTCTCTCATTGACCTAGAGTTCACAAGTTCATCTAGCCTGACTGGCCAGTAAGTCATCTCTTCTGTTCCTCCCCACCCCTCAAGAACTGAGATTACTAGTGTAGGCCATCAGACCTAGCAGTTTTAAATGGTTCTAGGTATCAAATTTAGGTCTTCAGGCTTAAGACAAGTGCTTTCACACTGACCCATCCACCCAGGCCCTATATGATTCTTTTTTGGGTAATTTTTTTTTTTGTTTAGTTTTGCTTTTGGATTTTGAGGTAGGGTTTCACTGTAACTTTCAGAGATCCATTGGCCTCTAGAGTGCTGGGATTACCATCATGCCCAGCTGTATGTGATTCTTTTTATTTTCTATTATTATTTTTATTGTTTTTTATTTTATGTGTATGAGTGTGTTGCCTGTGTGTATATAACTGCATCACATGTATGCAGTGCCTGCAGAGGCCAGAAGAGGGTGTTGGATCCCCCTTATTGTTGGCTGCCATGTGGTGCTGGAAAATGAACCTGGGTCCTCTGCACAAGTAGCCAGTGTCTTTAACTGCTGAGCCATCTCTATGTGATATTTTTTAAAACCACGTAGAATTCATTGGTTTGGGCACAGCGCAGTTTTCTTGAATATTCCCTACAGGATAGATAGTGAAGATCCATTTGTACATTTTAGTCATTTTATAGTTTTTGTCAGTTACAAATAATTTTCATGAACCTGGTTGTACATGTCTTTATGCCTTAGATACTATATTTTTTTAGGAGAAAGGCATAAAAGTAGTATTGTTTGGAGGTCATGATCATTTAAAATACTTTATTATTTTTATTTTATGTGTATGAGTGTATTGCCTGCATGTATGTGAGTACCTGTGTCATGTGAGTGCATCCGTGTCATGCAGTGATGTTTTTTTATTTTATTATTATTTTTATTATTTTTATTTTATGTGTATGAGTGTATTGCCTGCATGTATGTGAGTACCTGTGTCATGTGAGTGCATCCGTGTCATGCAGTGATGTGGAGGTCAGAAGAGAGAGCTTTGGATTCCCCTGGAACTGGCGTTAAGGATGGTTCGTAGCCACCATGTGGGTGCTGGGAATCGAACCTGGGTCCTCTGCAAGAGCAGTGAGTGCTCTTAACCACTGAGCCATCTCTCCGGCCCCAATGATCGTTTAAAATTTGATATTACTGCCAAATTGCCCTTCGAGAGTTCAGTAGAAGAGCTGGTGCCACCTTTAGTTCCAGTACGCAGGAAGCCGAGGCAGGTGGAGCTCTGTGAGTTCAAGGCCAGCCTGGTCTACATAGTGAGTTCTAGGACAGCTGCAGCTACAGGGAGACCCTGTCTCAAAAAGACCAAGAAAAAAGTATTAATTTTTCCATACTTAGTGTTTAATTTTTGCCAGTTTCACAGAAAATACCATGCCTCAATTTGTAATTCCTGGTTACTGTGGTTGGCCTGTGATGGTGACTGACCAGGTGAATTTCTCTGTGACCTAAGTGGTCACATGCTGTGTTTTTGTTCTTCCTTTGGTTTATTGGATTATTATTTTGTGGGGGAGAGGGAGTCTTTTTTGAGACAGGGTCTCCCTTTAGCCCCAGGTGGCCTGGAACTCACTATGTAGACCAGGCTGGCCTTGAACTCACAGAGGTCTGCCTGCCTCTACCTCCCAAGTGCTGGGACTAAAGGCGTGCACCACCATGCCCAGCCTGTTGGATTCTTTTGTACACTCCTTACTTTGACAGTCTGATCTCTGCCCTTAACTATTTTAAAATAGAGAATACATTACAGAATAATCAAAGGGCATATAAGATCAGTAATGGCCTTGTCCTTTTTGTGGACAATCTTCTCATATGCTAAGGCTGGGAGGGCATCTTTGCTCTTCTGACTCTCTTCTCTTCATGCTAAGTAGATCAGATTCCTGTTTGCAAATGCCTTGAAATTGTAGGTGAGCTCTGGTGATTCTGTGAGAAATACAATATTTGTTTGTGTTGCAGGTTTGTTTTGAGAAGTAAAGAAGGCAGTAATAGATAATATCCATACCTACTGCCTTAAGGTGTCTAAATCTTCTAGCATCCTACTGTGTCTATAGCACTGTCACCAGAGGAAACTGGCATTCTGGATAGTATAGTGCATATGATGCTGACAGTGTCCAGTCCACGTATACTCAGCTTATTTTTATTTTCATTTATATATGTGTGGGTATGTATATGTAAGTGAGGGTGCTCTTGGGGGACATTGGATTCCCTGGAACTAGAGTTACAGGATGTGAGTTACACATGGGTGCTGGGAACCTAACTCAGGTCCTCTGCAAGAACAGTGCAAACTTTTAACCACTGAACCATCTCTCTAGCCCCTTTTTTTTCTAAAACTTTACTCACTTGTTAACTGAGTTCTACTAAGAGCTAAAAGTTCCTCTTACTGAAAGCACTGGGTTCATTCTGTGAGTTCTAAAATAAGCCAAAAGTTTGACTATGAAATTTGCTTTGGCAGTGGTGTCCTTGTTAGATCACTGTTTCTTATGTGAAAATATTTGAAATAGATTTGTAATCATCTTTGAAATCTAGAAGTTCAAATATTGGGACGATAGCTCCTTATTATGTAGGAATATATATTCATAATGTGCCCCTCATATTTACAGCCTAGTCAAAAAAAAAAAATCTAGAAAGTCATTAAAATGTTAAGAATGTTTATCACTTCCTGCTGGGATATGGGAGATTTCATTTTTATGAGAAAGAAGACTATTAAATATCATTTTGAAACATCTGATTTAGGTAACCCTCTAGCAATAAATAATGACTCTTCAGTTGATGAGGGCTATAAATATGGTCATTGCAAGCAGTATTCTTACTCAACAACTTACTTGGGCATGAGGTTCAGAATTCCTTTCAGGCTTTAGTGGATTAAATGAAGGAAAATCTTGGCTCTCCGGAGCCAGCCTTTCTGTGCACTTAGCCTTCTTCATTCCTAAAAGGAGTCAGAGTCATTCCACACACCGTTTCTGTGCAGCCACTGAACTCACTACTGTGCTGAGACATAGGCAGCATGTGTGTGTGTTGTGTGTACGACACACTAAGGCTCATACTTAGCAAGGCCAGTTAAGTGGCAGAACAGAGACTGAGACTTGGTTGCTCTGGCTTTTAAGTTCTCTTTTGGTCAAATTGTGCAGTTCCAGGACTGAGGACAAGAATGGGCAGCCAGTGAGTGCAGGCCTCCCATGAGAAGAAGGGGCAGAAGGGAACTGACAAGGCGGCAAGGCTATTTGATTCTTGGGACCACCCTTCCTGGATCCCCCAACCCTTGTCCAAAGATGGCAGCTGTGGACAGAAGCAGAGGGACAGAAAAGGAAAAAAGGGAGCGAGAGCAACAATAATGATACTCAGGCAGTGATGAGAAGCTGCCAGAAACCTTCATTGACAGAGACAAAGCAGGGACCATTGTTGCTGTTGTCTGGGAGGGAGAAAGGCTGTAGGACAAGGGCAAGTGTCTCTTTCAGATTCATCAGTGTCATACTGACAGCTCATTAGCCACAGATAACTGAATTAGAGAGGGACACAGAATCACTTAGCAGTAAGTCCCAAGGCCTTGGCTGCTATAAGGAAAACCTTGATTTCAGGACAAGGTTGGTGGTACAACCCCTTTATGGTTGGGGTCTTCAGGGGCATCAGGTTAGCATGCTGAATGGTTCTGGCTATCCCTGGAAAGTTTTAAAATTCTCTGCCTGAGGACGTTAAATTTGTATGTTTAATATCTGGTTTCTTTTATA